AAACTGTTGACAACCAACAACTCAGAAAGTCTTCTTTGAAAGGATCATCTGTCACTAAAAATTCAGATTTGTTTTTTAAGATTCTAAGTCGGAGCTGGGAAGTTCAGTAATGTGATCTGAAGCAACGTGGCGGTGAGATTTACCAAAGCCGAGCAAAGTGTAAATACCAGGACGCGTTCTGGTTAAATGTTAAATTTAATTTGATAGATGGATGCTTGCTCATATCATTTTTAAAACTGATATTTTACAAGCAGACAGTGTCGTATCCAGGCGTGGCATCAATGATTTGATTCTGTTATCATCCAGACAGCAAATGCTTCACTGAGAAACGTCGTAAATGTCTTTTTGAAGTGTTTGTCCAGGTCTCCCCTCCCCCTCTTAGTTACTTATTACACATATGATTTCATCTGCGTTGAAAGGAAAAATCCTTTTACAAATGTCACTTTTCAACAGCGTAGTTATGTATTGTCATTACCTGTTTGCCAGTAACTTCTGTTCTGTTTTTTGTTCAGCCATTCAATCACTACACATAACTTCTTTTTATCTGTCATGTGTCTGACCAGTGTGCCTTTTCACCAATGAATGCAATAAATGTAACTCTCAGGTTGGAAATACTGTATTTGTAATCATTTAAATACTTATTTAAATGAATAAACTGTTCTTTAAGTTCATTAAAAGAGGTTTCAGGTACATTTTGTTACATCAATAGCGAAAAGACAAAATACCTGCTGGGCAAAGCGAAAAGGTTGCTTTGTTTGTAAATCTGAAACAAAACTGAATCGGAACAAACGAAGAGGAAGGAGTTTTAGGCAATTTTTGGCTAAAAATGAGTCCATTTCCAGGAATGACATTGCAATTTAAATTGCAGCAATAAATTCAAAGTTCAGTGCGAATCTGTTGCTGTGCCAACCTGATGTTGTCACAAGGGTGCAGTTTACTCAGACAGCAGTGCTGTAAAAGGACAGTGTTGAGGAATAAATGACAAAAGTTAAAGACTGTTTTTTCTATTGTGCTTTTACAGCTGCTGCTACAAGCATGCAATAGATTAACAGCTGCACACACACACACAC